AAAGAAATGAAAAGAACCCATCCAGATGACCAGACTGAACATTGTTTAATTGTAGTAATGTTGTAGTAATTGTTGTAACTGTTGTCATGTAGTGTAATGCCACATTGGTGATATGTGACTTATTTGTGCTGCTGATTATCCATGCTGCTGATCTCTTGCCTTTATGCTGCTGTATTCATACCCATCTGCTCACTACCGACTCATGTTCAGGCTGCTGTTTAATACACCGTATTATTTTACAATATTAAGTGTTTAGCGTATATCTTATTGTATAATTTAGTGTTCATTTAGCGTTCGTTTAGCGTATACCTTAATGCATATCTTAAATCCTTATATACTGTTTGTTTTTATACTTTATATTTTTTGCTATTTTTGGGTGTAACTGGGATCTTGAGTACACAATTTCATTCCACTTCATGTACCACATGTGATGCGAATGACAATAAAGTCACCTTGAACCTTCAGAAAAAAGTATTTTCCCTTCTTACATTTTTTTTAAGCCTGTTTTGTGGAATAAATGTAGACTAAAGTCACATTATAATTCTGAATGTTAATTACTTTGCACTTTTTTCAGAGAGGTTATGAAAAATCTGCTTTACAGCTCAATAACCTGCTCAAGTAGAAGAGAAAGTATAATTATTTAGATATATTTCTGCCACCTTGTATTATGCAGAGTTTGCCTTCTAGAGGCTCTAATAATCAGTGATGCTTGAAAAAAAAAAAAACATTGGTAATTAATGCTAATTTAGCATTTAATAATAAAGGGCAACTTGAATGCCCTGCCCACTCTCTGTGACTAAGTTATGCTCCAACACTATTAACACAAGAACCTCAGTCATGGACACGGTCACTGACATGGAAACTGGAATAAACCCTTACATCTGCACATAGATAAAGAAGAAGAAACAACTCTGTGTGTGGTGCAAAGAAAGGCCTGTCTGCGGTCTAGGAAACATGAGATAAACACCCGGTTATGAAGGGTGTTTGCTGTATTTATCTTAAGTCAAGCACAATTTAGATCATGTCTGTCTGGGAAGAATTATGTTTTGGAGATAATAAGTAAACATAAAAGTTCAAGTTCAGTTTATTTCAACTCTGCGCATTAATATTCTCCAAATTGATGCAAATTTTGTAACAAGATGAAGTGTCACTTCACCCACTTCCAACAAATAACTTCAGACTTGCATGCTTTCATAACAGCCCAACTCCACTCTAACTCACTTTACTCCTCTTCATTTGACTAGGAGGCCTGACAGCCGAGTAGGGACTTGGCAAAATCAGCGCATTAGCTTCCTACTTTATGCACTGGCTAATCCATTAAGACCTTGATAAACTGCCAGTACTTAAATCTAAGAAAATATATATTTGATTTTAGTTGATTTTATCACAGATTTTAGTTGATTTTATCACAGATTTTAGTTGATTTTATCACTGATTTTAGTTGATTTTATCATTGATTTTAGTTGCACTCTGTAGCACTTTGAGATTTTTGTTAATGAAAAGTGCGTTACAAATTAAATTCATTATTATTATTTATTATTTTTAAATGCTATCATAAGATCTCATTAAGAAGGAATGTTTTTTCACGTCAGCCCATAAAGACGTGATCACACATTTTGAAAGTGTTCCTAAATCATATGGGATCTTTGTGCTGCACAAGTTAATTTAACAAGTTTTTACATATGTAGTTGATGTGTTTTTTGCAAGAGATACATTGAAAGGAAAATATCACATTCCTCTTCCCACAAAGAGCTCCCACAAGCTCTTCTTTAAAATTTTTGTCATGTAAGGTGACTTGTGATGTGCATTCTGTTATAATTTCATTTCAATAAGACAGTGGTTCTCAACCTTTTCACTCCATTTGTCATCTCTTCCTCCTGGTGCTTGCACTGGCAGGTGGATGTGGAGTGAACTTACTTTCTGCTACTCTATTTTTATTTTTTTTTCCTTTTTGTCTGTATCATGTTGTAATCCATTTACTTTGAAGGTGAAAGCTCAGATTAATTTGTTTGCTTCTGCTGAAAGTCTAAAAAACTAGTAGAAGTTGCCAACTGTTGCACTTAGCAACCAGGCTAACTATTATTAGCCCTAACAAGCCACTAATAATGTAAAAAACTTTATGCTGGTGAAGATTCTCAGTCATCCAGGACATGATGAATTCAAAAAGCGTTCAATAAGTTCAATAATATTTTCCGCAGTTCACCTCCACCTCACAGATAAGGGACACTCTTTTGAGGACCAAAATGTGCACATTTTGGACCGAGAACACAGATGGTTTGAGAGGGGGGTGAAGGAAGCAATTTATGTAAAAAGAGAAAAGCCGTCTCTTAACAGAGGAGGAGGCCTCAGATTCCCACTTTCAAAAACATATAATGAAACTTTAAAACAGATTCCCAGCCGGTTTTCACACCTGATGGGAACAGATGGGCCTCGACTGTGAATTAGAGGAACAAAGACCTACTGTTTAGTTTTTTTTAGGTGTGAACTGCCAATCTACATATACAGTATGTGTGTGTGTGTGTCATGTGTGTGTGTGTCTTATCTCACTCAGCCTTATAACCTGTATCTCTCACTCTCTGCTCTTTGAATTGAGAAAGCTCCTCGGATGCGGAGCGAAACGTCTTCTGTTACAAATAAAGTCCAGTTGTTTTTGTAAAACACTTTAGCATCATAATAAATTAGAATGGGTACAGTTCTACAACTGATTTAATGAGATACAAACCAACAGCAATGAAAACCACAAGGTTAAGCAGCTATCGCAGAGTTTTAGGTATGAGGCAGCCATTTTGGATTGTGAGGTAAGAGTTGCAGGAATCTCCAAATTTCCAACTCAAGTTTTGGGTTCAGGTTGAGCTTCTCAACTAGGAACATGGAAATTCAGATTTCTAAGTACAGAAAGATTGTGGGATAGTCTCCACATGAATTCCACCTGCATTGTTTCTACATATATATATATATAT